ATCTGTCTATCTATCTATCTATCTATCTATCTATCTATCTATCTATCTATCTATCTATCTATCTATCTATCTATCTATCTATCTATCTATCTATCTATCTATCTATCTATCTATCTATCTATCTATCTATCTATCTATCTATCTATCTATCCATCCATCCATCCATCCATCCATCCATCCATCCATCCATCCATCCATCAATCTCCCTCTCTCCCTCCCTCCATTCTGTCTCTATATTCACATTCTGTCTCTATATGCACATTTAGCTATTACCTAAATTGCTTCATTGTATTAAGATAAAAGATCATTTGGAACAAGAGATAAAGCATCCCCTGAATGAATCACTCCAGCTACTGAGACATTCTAATTTCCTCCTCTTTTGCAAAGCAGTAAAAATAGTGTAATAGCTGCAGTTTGCTGGCGTATAATTCTAATGTGTGGCTTTCTGAGCAGCATAACCCTATGTTTCAGCAGGGACAGCCTATTTGTCTTGTTGGTATAGTATAGATCAAAGCGAAGGAAGCATACTTAATGCTTAGCATATGTAACCTACAATTACAAATATAAATCCTTTCATATATTTTTGTGCTTTTGGAATAAAGGATTTTGTCTATGTAGTAGGAGATCAAACCAGGCTACTTTGGAGGAATAAGCAGCCTGTAGTTTGCTGTCAGCACTAAAGTTCTTATGATGAACAAAGTGAGTACAGATTTGAATTCCTGAACAAATTGTAAGAATTACATTTTATTTTTCAATACCTGTATCTGTATTTTAGGATTTTCATTTCTTTTTTCAAAAAAAGGTTGAGAAATGTTCATTGGTTATAAGGCCTAATACAGCACAGCAGTATTTTCATTGCTTAAAAGTAAATTGCTAGAATTAGGGCTCGACATAAAATAATGCTTGAATTTTAGTATAAACCCAAACCCTACTACTTATCTTTCTGGCGAATTGTGTTTTCCTCCTTATTTATAGCTGTCTAGCCGAAGTTAGCAATATTATTCATGAAATAATTTGGGGTGAATTGGAATCCTTCTTTCTTAATTGGGTACATACATATACACTTATAGTTCAAACATACACACACATATATCAATTTCTGAGGTGAACAGGCGTGATCTATGTGCTGATTTTCACTTCATAAATTAACAACCTTTAAGCTCAGGTTACCTGATGTCTCAACTATACATTCTACCCATTGATATATCTGAAAGATTTAGTTAGTTAAACAAGACAGATATAAGAAAGGTCACCTTGATCATTTCTCGGAAGGCCTCGAAGTCGACTTTGGTGATGGGTTCGGTCATTATTACCGGAAACACTGTGTCAAACTCTTTAGAGAGAATTTTAGTCATCTAGGGGGCCTTCGTCTGGTTGTAGGAGTGGATCCTAAAGTTGTGACAAGCCTCCTGCCATTCCAGAGAGAAGGTGTAAAGTGAGTCAAGTCTGCAGCCCTCAGAGAGAGCACAACCTATGCTGGAAATGTTGACCCTGGCAGATTTATTAGCACCCAGCCTTTCCTTTTTTTGTTTTATCACCTACAGTTTTGCTATCTCCAGGGGAGGTCGTTTGCTCCTTGCAGATGACATGGGCTTAGGGAAAACCATCCAGGCAATCTGCATTGCTGCCTATTACCAAAAAGAGTGGCCCTTGCTGGTGGTGGCTCCTTCTTCAGTGAGATATACGTGGGCCGAGGTAAAGTCTTTATTTGCAGAGTAAAGCTAAGTGGTGCTTAGCTTCTATATACAAAAAGATGATGGGATTTTTTTCCCACTAGCTTCAAATCTGACAAAACTCTAGGAAACTGTTATCCTTGAAGACTGTTCCTTTATTGCTGTTTTGTTTTCATTAATTATTTGGAAAGGAGAGTAATTTTATTTTGGATTTTTGAAATAGATGTTTGAGAAGTAAAAGGAAACTATTTCACCTTTTGGGTACATTTTAAGAGCAGCTTATGGCAGTGGGGGCCCTGACACATCTTTTCAACCCTGATGCAGATTGGGCCATTTCTGTGAAAATGTCTGCATTGTAAGGCATCGTTTAAGACAAGAGAATGCGATATTTTAAGGAAATACTTATTTTTAGACGGGTGGGAAAAACAAGAAACGGAGTATCAAAACCAGCTTACCAGCTGAAAAGTAATGCAAGTGTATTATTATTTCTAAATTTTGCTGGTTTCAATTCCATATTTATATTTTGGATTAGGCTCAGCTATTTTTTATTTATTTCATTTATTTATAGAAGAAAATTTATATGGTGGTCCAACTCACTCTCAGTGACTTCAGGCAGCTTACAGAGATAAAAACCTAATATAAAAAACAGTAAAAAGCAATGACCCCTGTATAATGCAAGGTAAATGCAGTTAAGAATTGTAGACTTAAAACTGAGCTATATAAATTGTATCAAGTTTTTCTTTTAATTAGCTATAATCTTTAAGCCAGAGGTTCCCAACCTTTTGGGCACCAGGGACCAATTCTGTGGAGAGAGGCTTTTCCATGAACTGGAGGATGCGTGGTTTTGTGTGCTGCCTGCATCCTGCAGATGGGGCTTTGCTTGTTTGTGCGGACTGGTTGCACAAAGCGAACCTCTGCTTTAAGCTATTCAGATGAAAAAAAATATATTTTATTTCCCTTTATTCCCCCCCCCCCCTACTTCTTTAGGCTTTCCATAGATGGCTTCCTTCCCTCGGCCCAGACACCATCACAGTCATAGCAACAGGCAAAGACCAAGTCTCGGCAAAACCGATTAACATTGTCAGTTTTGACCTTCTCAGCAAGACTGAGAAGCAGCTCAAAACCACCTTCCAAGTTGTGATTGTTGTAAGTAGCCTTCAGGTGGTGACTTAATTTTGGTGGACTGTTACAGACAGAGGTGGGAAACCTGTTCAGCATAATGGGACTAACATGCAGTCGCTTCCTGTGCATAATCTTGATTTAAAACTTGTCCGAGCTAATAGGATAACTCACCTGCAAGCTAATATTTGCATAGGATACGGTAATGGTTTATGTTAAGATTAGAATTACTGTGTAATCACCACTTCGGGGAATGTAGTTAAATGATCATGACAAACGGCTTAAATTTATTGCTGAAAAAATAACTGTAAACAATTCTTTCTGTATCTTTAGAAATACAAAAAATTATGTCTAGTCTATTGTAGATAAAGGGTGACCATGAACTGGGTTCTTGTATTGTTGATCTTGCATGTTAAAAGTGTGTCCTGATCCTCACAAAAAGTGCACAGGAATTATTCTGTCTTACAATCAAATCATGACTTCTTAGAAATTGGCTGCCTTCCCCTAGTCACTACCTTCATGTTAATACAGAATAAATATAGGTAGTCCTCTGTTAACAATGGTAGTTGTGACTAGGAACTCCATTGCTAAGCGACATGGTCATAAAATATGACATCACATGACCACACCAACTAATTGCAGCCATTACAGCAGTCCCCATTGCAGTCATTAATCTTTTACAATTTATTAGGCACAACATTACATGATCACGGTTTGCAACTTCCTGTTGGCCTCCCCATTTTTCTCTGCTTGTTGGAAGCCACCAGTGAAACTCATAAATAGTGATCACATGATCACAGAACACTATGACCATCATAATTGCAGGATGGTTGCCAAGCGCCGGAATCATGATCACGTGACTGCGGGGACGCTGTAACGGCTGCAACTTTGAGGACTGGGTATCTCCCCATTCAGCACTGCTAATAACATCGAACAGTCACTGAGTGAACGGTTGCTAACCAAGGACTATCTGTAATTAGGGCAGTGTATGAATCTCGCATATAAATAAATACGGTTCTTGCTGACTATTTGGCAGAGTTTGTATTTCACATGAAATAGCCCCCATGGAGTGTTCTGCTGCCTTTTCTGTCTTCAATCCCCCCTCTGCTGGTGACTGATATTAGCATAATCTTATCACTGATCAAGCTGGAGAAAGCATCATCTTAGAGTTGAAGGGGGGTCTATTATCCTTTCTCTGCATGGCTGCTTACTTGCCGAAATGCAGACAAGATGAGTACACTTCCAGAGACATTTCCAATTTCCTCCTTTCCTGAAGCTCCGTCTCCTAACAGCACTCAAGAGAGAGTTCATTACTGAAAGGGAGCTTTCAAATGGTAGGTTATTATCTACCTGGTGAGCCTTTAACAGCAAACCAGTTGGTTCCTAATTAGATTTCCTCCTTTCTGATATTTCTCATTAACCCCTTCATTTGGAAAGATTGGCATAGTAGCGGACTGACAGTTATCTGCATATAAGATGGGATCTTGTGATAACAAAAGAATAGGAATAGTTTAGAAGGGTCTTTCTTCCACTTCTCTTGTTATGTCTGGCTGCAGTTGTTGATTGGAAAACATAGACTTTGGTGATTGTTATCAATAATTTACATTTCCAGTAAATTACCTTGTGTTGGGTTGGTTTTTCATTCTGCATATCGCTGTGCCCGTTGAGATTGGTTTATTTCTGGGCTCAAAACACACAGTGCATAAAATACATCAGAGCTTTTTTATTCAGAACCAGGGCCAAAAGCTGTTCAAAATTTATTGTGTTTCCATTTCTCCAATTTCAGGATGAATCCCATTTTCTTAAGAACGGTAAAACGGCTCGATGTCGGGCTGCAATGCCTCTCTTGAAGGTGAGTATACAAATTTTGAATGTAGAGACTGTTAGGCCCTATGTGTTCAAAAAGCCTGGTGTGTGTGTTGGTTAAAAACTTATGAGAAAGTTATAGATCAGTGATGGCGATCCTTTTAGAGACTGAGTGCCCAAACTGCAACCCAAAACCCACTTATGCATCGTCGGGTGCCGGGTGGGTGTGGCCCATTACGTGGGTGTGTCTAATTGGGTGGGTGTGGCCCATTGGGTGGGCGTGGCTATGGTGGTAACAGCAGACTGGGTGGGACTAAAAAGTTCAATCAATCAATTCCAACTTTGCAAGATCTTTTTTTCCCCATGAGAAGTTGAAATTGACTGATTGAACCTTTTTTTTTTTTGCACATGGCGACAGAGGCCTAAAGCGAAAAGGTTTTATAAAACCCAGCTGAAGGCCTAGGACTGGGGCGACGGCGCGCGTGCCCACAGAGAGGGCTCTGAGTGCCGCCTCTGGCACCCGTGCCATAGGTTCGCCACCACTGTTATAGATATTAAGGAGCAACATTACAGAGACAGACAGCTCAAGAGTTAGAGTTTAAACATCTCCCTGAAGAATATACTGAAATGGCCTTGACTCTTAAAGCCTTATGTGATCATACTTCTCACTGTGAACTAATGTAAATAGGACACCAGATTTCTTTTTTCATTTCTATTCACAGATGCTCATTATGATTCCTTGGCTCAAAAGAAAAGAATCAAAGGTTATTTCTTGTGGGCAAACAATAATAGGTATAAGCTCCGGTTTTTATGTTGTGATTAACACAACAGCATATGTTTTTGCCAGAGGTATCCAATATGGAAAGGTTTTAGGTAGATGATGTAATGGTAAACTGTATGAGAGTGACTTTGGCAGACAGAAGGAAGACCCACAGACCATAGTCTGATAAAAGAAATCTGAGTCTGAAGGAGAAGTGGGGATGGAGAAATCCCATTGCCAGTGAAAATAAAACTAGAGTTAGGGTTAGGGTTAGATTTCCTTGGATAAGGGCTGAAACCTGACATCAGGGACACATTTGAAGAGGTTCTCTAAGAAAAGTTTACTTCTATGAATGTAAACCTCAAGTAAGTTTTCATCCCTGACTCCAAGAAAACCTAACACTAATCTTAGCCCTAACTCATTTTTAATTTTCACTGCCAATGGGATTTTCCCATGCATTTTACTATGTTCCACAAATAAGGCCAAATGAAAATGTCTCATCCTCCCAGATGTCAGTTTTCAGCCCTGACTCGAAGGAAATCTAATCCTAACCCTAACCATACCCTCACCCAAGCCTAGCCCTTGTTTAATTTCCACTGCTAATGGGATTTTTCCAGGCTTTTTACTGTGATCACAAATAAGTCCCAGACAAAAGCTGTCACTCTCACTTTCCTTTGGGAACCTCTGCGAACCCTAACCCTACTTTCATTTTCTTTGGTAAAGTGATTTTCCCATGTATTTTACTGTGGTCCATAAAAAGGTCCGAACAGAAAACTCACTTCCACTTTCCTTAGAGAGCCTCTAAGAATCTATCCCTAACATAAGCTTTCAGTCCTAACTCCAAGGAGAGCTAACCATAGCTCGTTTCTCGGCTGCAGAGGCCTTCCGGAAAGGCCTCTGACGGCAAAATGCAGGCCTGAGCTCCATTCTCAGTTGCAGAATGAAGCTGCTCCTTCAGCTGCAGAAGAAGTGGGCTGGCGAGGCAAGTGTCGATTCATGGGAGGCCTGGCTGCAATGATAACTCCCCCCCCCACACACCCACGTCCTACCTTGATTTTAGGCGTGTGCCTTGCCCCAAAACTTATTTTTGGGGTAGGGCTTATATTAGGCCCACCTCCAAAAATCAAGCTAGGGATTATTTTTAGGGTAGATCTTACTTTTCGGGAAACATGCTATGTTACTGTGGTCCATAAAAAAGTACAGTAAAATACATGGGAAAATCCTATATCCAGTAAAATTCAAATTAAGGTTAGTGCTAGGGTTAGGTGTCCTTGAAGTCACTGCTGAAAACTGATGTCAGGATTAGATTTGCATAGGGTCTCTAAGGAAGATGAATGTGACAGCTTTTCCTCTGGATTTATTTGTGAATGACAATGTATGGGGAGATCCTACTCCCTGTTAAAATGTTTGGCATGTCTGTGAATCAGAAGGTTGGTTGTTTGTAATAACCATATTTCCAGCCAAAATAAAAGGTCACGTGGTAAGTCACGTGGTTTGCTCGGTACCCATTTTTAGTACTTGTTACTTGTCCCGGAATTAATCCCAGACAAGTACCAAGGTACCACTGTATACACTTACTTTGAAAAATCTCATTTATATTAAAAGAAAAAAGATTTAATTATCAAGTACTGAAATATGGTAAGCAGTTTCAGATACTGAAGAATTCCTGGACAGACAGTCGGTCACTGAGTAGTGTTTTCAAACAAAATTAACCTGAAAAATAATGATACATCTGTGCTGGTTATCTTAGTCACTAACAAAGTTAGCCCATCTTATCTGGATTTTGAAGCTAAGGTGGGTTGGATTTGACTATTTGCATGGGAGGCTACTCAGAGCTTGTAGCCTAGATTGAAATGTTTTTTGACTTCCCAGGAGGCCTTGGCAAGCAACCTTTGTATAGCTGTCAAGAAAATGGCATATTTGTGTTTGCGTAGTCACCAGAAATTGAATTTGACAAGAGAGGATCTTTGTATTTTCTTCCTTATTTTCTATAAATATTGATATGTTAGTATTTACTATGTTATTATTCACCAATTAAAATGAAAACACCAAGAGTTCTAGTTCCTCTTCTAGGGCTATTTAATATGGGCCTTGTAAGTATCAAAAGTAAAAAGTGAAAATGATGACATGTAATCAAAACTTGATTAAAAAGCAGGGTCGAAGTTTCAAATTGAAACTGTTGAAGAGCAGATCTGAAAATTGCATTGGGGAAAGGAAAATTGGCACCATTGTAATATTAAAAGCTTATCTTAACTTCAGTATCAGTTACACTTTAATAGCTTCTTAAGATAAAGTGGTGTTTTTTACCATCCATTTTAAATATAATTTGCTAAGGAAAGGACTTTAGAGCAGTGATATATAGACACTTCAAACAGGCCCATGTATAAAACATGGGCCCAAAGTCTAAAATTCCATAAGTTTCAAAAGCAATTATGAACAGAAATATTCTTGGTATATCCACTGTAGAATTCTCAATCATCCATGATAAAGTATTGATGCTCCCTTGCTAAAGATTTAGGCAGCTATATGGAAGTTATGAATGTATAATATAGTCTCCTGAGTTGGTTTCATATCCCAAATTGGAATATGAATCAAAAACAGTTAGAATTGGACGGGATCCAGATTGAATAAAATAAATAAATGCACCCTCATCATTGAAAATACAACTTGCACAATTTGCGGTTGGCAACAGCCCAAATGCTCTAAAGTGTACATCTAGGCCATGCATAGATTATCGACTACTTTTCCATCTCTAGAATAGTTACTATCAAAAGTAACTGTGTAGCTTCCAGATCATCTAGATTCAGAGTTTATCTCCTCCACTTTTGTATCCTATTTTGTTTTATTTCAAGACTTACAGTATATGTCCTCCCAATTCACAAAAAATACAACTCTTGGTAGCATACAATAATAAAAACAAATTATCTTATCCCAACAACAAAAACAAAACATACTGGGGGAGAGAGCAATATACACCATGATATGATATCATTCATCATCATCATCATCATCATCATCATCATCATCATCATCATCATCATCATCATCATCATTTTTAATGGCAGTTTACAATAGGATATCCAATATAACTCTTTTTTATTTATATTCAAACTTTCTATAACTGATTTTTCCTGTAGTGAGTTAAAGTTGCTTTGTTATGTAGAGATTTGACTGAATGCCCTTTGTTCATAATTTAAATTAATCTCAACAAATACACCTACTCAAGATTCTTCTCTAGATACAATGATCCTTGGATGCAACCTGTTTAATGGCATATCTAAAGCCAATATATTGACTTCCTCTTTTGTTCCTAAGACAAAGTACAAAACAGACCAGTGAAATATAGGATTCTGTTGCCTTGGTACACAGAGGTAGTAGAAGTTCTGAAATTCTTATTCTGTAATCATTTATCACTGAGCTATAATCATGTGAGTTAAATTACCTAAACAATTGTGATGAATATAAGCGTGAGTTTAATGAATTGCAAGTCTCAAAATTTTCAATGGCAAACAATTAATGAAATTTGTATGAAGATGCATATTAATAAAACATTAGTTTTATTTTTAATGCTGTAATGCCGTATTGTGCAACTTTCCAGTGTATAATGACTAACATTCATCCACTGAAATACAGGAAACAATGTTAATGGCAATGGCTTTGCAAAATATAAAACCTGTGCGCTATGCAACTATAGAAACAGTGTTATGGCTTCCGAAAGTGTGTTTGCAGCTTTGGTTTACTTCTGAAAGTAAGAGCTAGCATGAATATGATTTTTTTTTCTGTGTGGGCTTCAAGAAGTATTATTTTTTACTAGTCTGGTAAGCTGAGAACTTAATGCTCAGTTTTATCTATCAGAATACCACTCGTTTTGTTGGAGAATTGGGGCTTTACTATTTTTAAGGGCAGATTTTGTCAGAATTTTTTTTTAGCCAATGTATTCATAGATCTGCTCCTCATGGCTTTCTTTTTCTCTTACCTACAGTTAAGTGCTTATTCTTATATACTTTTATAAACTCTCAATACTCTTTATTCTGTTTAAAGTTGGAATATACAAGGGCAGTTCGGAAATAAACCTCTGTTTGGTTATCAGTGACAAACACTCGTAGATACAGCTTTTATTATACACATTAGAAAACTACAACATTACATTATGTAAGGACCCACCTCAGCTAACCACCCAAGAAAGCAGAACTCTTGAAAAAGGCATTGACTCAAAAGGAAACTTTTATTAGGGGTCAGTAACAGTGGGGAAGTCAAGGCCAGATCTGGGAAAAAATCCCACTTAAACAGTATAGTTAAACTAGCAATATTCCTCCTCTCACCAAAGTCATAATGTCCATTTGAAATCCAGCCAATTCACAGGTGGCCACGATGTGTGGGTAACTGGCACAGTTGGCGTGCATCTCAAGGTCTTCTCCAGTTTCGTTTCTCTGTGACCGTCTCCCTGATAAGGAAGACACATTCCTTTCTCAAGTGGATAGAGGCAGGAGAAGAAAAGTAGAAAGCGAAAGTTATCCCAAGTGAAAACAAATATCCTCTCTCCCCCCAGCAGAATGGCAGGCCCCAAAAGGAAAGCACAAGAGTAAATATGCAAGGAAGACAATAAGGATTTGGGGACCTGACCCATTACTTTTTGACATAATCGCCATTTAAATTGAGGCATTTGTCATAATGTCTTACAAATTCCTTCTGCAAAAAAAATCTCCCACCTGGGAATGAAGCCACCCTATAACAGCATTGTGAGATGCATTGTCATCGTCAAAACGGTGCGACGCAAGCCATTGTTTCATGTGCCTGAAGAGGTGATAGTTGCTCGGCGCCAAATCTGGGGTATGGGAGGGGGGATGATCAAAAACATCCCAACGGAACTGCTTCAGAAGTTCTTGGGTACATCTAGTGGTGTGCAGGCAAGCATTATTGTGAACCAACACCACACCGGAAGTCAGCATGCCCCAACGCTTGTATGTATCGGGAACCAACAGACTTCACGGACCTTTTTGTCAATTTCCTGCATGAGTTCATCGCTGACTACAGATGGGCGGCCACTTCTTGCCTCATCGTGCATGTCAGTTTGTCCGTCTTTAAACATGCGACACCATTGACGTACGACACCTTCACTCATCACATTAGCTCCGTAAACATTACACAGTTTGTGATGAATTGCAGCTGCCGAAAGTTTTTTTGCACACAATAATCTTATTACTGCACACACTTCACATTTGGCGGGATCTTCTATGGCAGGGTTCATTTTCAATTGATCTAGCACAGTGGTTCTCAGCCTGTGGGTCGGGACCCCATTTGGGGTCGATCAACCATTTCATGGGGGTCGCCAAGCAAAGCTGTCCGCCATTTTTTTGTCCATTTTTTCCCCTTTTCCGGCGGGTGCCTTACCTCCCTTGGGCTGGGCCAGCTGGTGGTCAGCCTGCTCGGTCTCTGCCGCTTGCCAGCTACGCCTCGGCCGGCACAGGGGGCGGAACCACGCCTGTGCGGCGCTCCCGGGCAGGGAAAGTCCTCAACTTACGACCGGTTTAGTCCTCGACTTACGACCGGTTTAGTCCTCGACTTACGACCGGTTGGGGTCGCGGCATTAAAAAGGTTGAGAACCACTGATCTAGCAGACGAGTCATTGTCAACTGCAACAAAACCTTCTCCTTCCACTCCTCACTGCCTACTGAACTACTGTGCATGGCGCCATAGGACGGGCATTGCTATCCCTGCCTATTTCTCGCACATGTTCAGACTGAGGTTTATTTCCGAATTGCCCCCATATGTTGCTGTTGAAAATCAAACGATAGCTATTTTTGCATCTGTTCAGTTTCTGGTTGAATTTGGATGCCTTGTGGTGATGATGGGACACAATAATAGATTTTGGACTCTAACTTTAGACTTATTTCAAAGTTAACACTGTAGCTTTGTATCTATTCTCTTTTATGACAGAAATGAAAACCAGATTCAGTCTCCCAATGAGTCTGTTCTGTTAAAAAGAGTTTCTGTATTAAAATCATTATCAGCTATTTCCATTTGTTGATTAGAACACCCTTGACTTTAAATGCCAAGCAGCTGATTAAGGCAGGAGAGGTTGGCATCTGGAGGATGGTTGTAACTATCTCCAGTACAATATGGATTTTAATAATCACCATGGTGCAAAGCACAGCAAATAGCATAGCAACCACAGGCTATGGAAATCTTTTTAAAAACCCAGTAAATCACTGCTTAGAAATAGGGCACTTTTGCATAATTAGTGGTTTTACTTTTTAAAATGGTCTTCATATGCTCTTCATTTAGCCCTTTCAATCTCTTTATGCAAACTCTTACTCCTGATATTATAGCTAACCTATTTGAAAAACAGGTTCAAAAACAAAGATTCTACCCATTTCCTATATTCAGTTTTTGCTGTCCCTTTACGTAGCTTGAAATTTTCCTTCAGTTCTTCTTTCAGTGCAATATATGCCATCACTTGCTGGCAGCGGCTGCCTTATTTCATTATAAATGAGATAAACAATGAGGAACTTTATAAGTGCTTTGGACTTCAGTTACCAGCATTTGTGATTAGCCTGGCTATAGGAGAGAGTTATAAACTAGATGCCAGAAAGTCACCATGTTGTTTGCCCCTCCATAAGACAAGTAGATCAGTCTTTTTCTGTATAGGTAGTTCTTGTGTAGTGACTATAATTAGGACTAGCAGCTCTGTCATTAAGCAAACCCGTCGCTAGGTGGAAAATCACATGACCATAGCTGTGTTTTTCTTTTCTCTACTCCCCAGCCCTTTGGAATGCTCATCCCAGCACTGGGGTAATTAGCAATTCTATTTACATTCATGGGAGAGGAAGGGATTATAAGAGAGTAAACAGACTCATAGTGGGGAATATACATAGACAGCAATGCAGTCCCAGCGGCAGCCTGAGAGCACACTACAATAGCTGATGTACTCCCCATGTGTGTGCTTACTTTTTTGTAAACCTTTCCTCTTCACTCTGCAAAGAGAGGGAGGAAGGAGAAAACAGAACACACATACTGGCTGTAATGGTGAGCACATGATTGAGGCATGTGAAGATCATGTAAACTGTAAATTTATTTTTTCAGCACCATTGTGACTTTGAATGATTATTGAACAAGGCAGTCAGTAAGCGAGGGCTACCTGTACACTGAAATAACAATATTTCCATTTTCTTGGATACGCTTCCTGTTGATCTGATTAGTGCCCCTTTTCATCAGAAACATTTCAAAGGGAAGCTCCTACATGAAATGGCTGTACTAAGAATAACACTAATCAGTTGGGGTTCTCTTTATTCAGCTAATCGGAAAAAAAAATGTTGTCAGGTACTCTGTTTTACTAATAAAGGAGAATATTTGTAGCTCAGGGTTGACATGAGGGGTCCTTGGTGCTTTCTGAGCTTGCTTGTTTTCTTGCAGACGTTTCGTTACCCAAACTAGGTAACATCATCAGTGCTAGGATCCAGATTGTTGGGGGCAATATGCTGACTCTGTAAACTGCTTAGAGAGGGCTGTAAGGCACTGTGAAGTATATAAGTGCTATTGTTATTGCTATTGCTAGTCTCTGTTTTGACTGCTGTCTAGCATGTTATTTGAATGTTGAAAGTATGATGCTACAAATAGACTTAAATTGCTTCCATATCTGAGTAGGAGTGCCTTGCCCATGGCCACCTATTGAGTTGCCAGGAGAGCTGAGATTAAAGCAGGTTGGCACCTAGGTCCACCGTTTCTGACCAAGGAGGATTTTCCCCTTCTCATTGCGTGGTATAATTCACTTTTGTGATTTTGTTCCCATGCAGGCTGCCAAAAGAGTAATCTTATTATCAGGAACCCCTGCCATGTCACGTCCCGCAGAGTTGTACACACAGATTGCAGTGGTCCAGCCAACCTTCTTCCCTCAGTTCCATGCCTTTGGGGTCCGCTACTGTGATGCTAAAGAGGTAATCTAGGTATACTTGTATGTCTGCCAGAAAAAGGCTATTCGGGAATAATAATCTTCCATGCTGAAATGCTCTATATAGATTTAGCTGATTTGGTTTGCAGATTCCTATCTGTAGAAAGAATAACTTTTTACAGCACCAACTGGCTGTAGAATGCATGCACTTGTATTTTTTTTTAAAAAATGAAGCCCTTAATGAAAATGAAATTCAGTACTTCTTGAGCAAATGATAAAAGCTGAGAAGCTTTAGGAAAATCTGATCTTCTGTTGCCATGGTCATACATCTTGTATGTGGACTTTATTGTTAAATTCTTTACCCAGAATCTTCCTTTTATCCAGAATGACTCTTTAATAGCATCCCTAAAGAATATTACCATTTTATTTTGTAAAATACCACAGGTTGTTCCCAAAATTCTTTGACCATTCATATTCATATAAATATTAATTTTTTTACCCTACAGAACGGTTTCATTCCAAAATTAACTGTAACGACTTCCTATGTAATTTATAGACATGTAGGCATGGTTCACAGAATTATTAGCTAGGATTTTCTAATTATTGTTTGTTGATCAAGTGTAACAGCCTTGTTTATACATAATGTGATTTGTTTGATAGGTTACCTCTATGTGTAACCCACAGCATGGAATGAACAAAGTAGAAAAGGAATGTACTGTAGCCAGGCCTCTTATCTTTCTGAAATAGGACCAAAAATTAAGAAGAACTTACTATGGGTGCCCAGTGCAGATAATTTGCTCCCCTAGTTTCCTGCAACACCAAAATTTATTGATTTAACCCTCTTTCTCCAAATATCAGGCATGGAAATGTTTGTGGTTATATTAGCTTATGTTAACAAAAAGATATGTGAATAGCATACCTTGAATAGATGAGGGTATATTGCTACTGAGTTTTTGGTTAAATTTCAAGCACAGTTACAAGCACTGCTTTTTTTCTTAAAAAAAAAAAAAAGGTGCCGGAACTCACACACGTCATACAACCCGCCTTGCCTACCCGTTCTGGGTGTTCTATGAGAAAAAAAGCCCTGGTTACAAGCGTTTTCAGGATATCGGGATCTAAACATTATGTCAGCATCCATAAATACATTCATAGAAGAGAGCCAGTTTAGTGTAGTGGTGAAGGTGCAGGCCTAGACACCTTCACCACTAAGAGTTCTCGACCTGCTTTGTGCACGAAAACCAGCTGGATGACTTCGGGCCAGTCATTCTCTCAGCCTAACTCAGCTCACAGGATTATTGATGTAGGGAAAATAGGAAGCAGGAGTATTAAGTATGCTTCACACCTTCAGTTGTATATTGAAAATACAGCAATAGCAATAGCACTTAGACTTATATACCGCTTCTCAGTGCTTTACAGCCCTCTCTAAGAAGTTTACAGAGTCAGCCTATTGCCCCCAATAATCCGAGTCCTCATTTTTCTGATCTTGGAAGGATGGAAGGCTGAGTCAATCTTGAGCTGGTGAGACTCGAACTGTTGAACTGCCGGCAGAATTGGCAGTCAGCAGAATTAGCCTGCAATAGTGCCTTCTAACCACTGCACCACCACAGCTCTTATAAATAATATAAATAATATAATAATAACAATAATTTGGTCTAATGGTTAAGGCACCAGGGTAGAAACCAAAAGACTAGGACTTCTAGTTCTGACTTAGGCATGAAACTGACTAGCTGACTTTGGACCAATCACACTCTCTCAGCCCCCACCCCCACCCCACAGGATTATTATGAGGAAAACAGGATGAGAAAGGAGTATTAAGTATGTTCACCTTTCTTATTGATAAAAATAAAAATTTAATAAATAAGCAAACAAACAAAATGCATGCTTCCCAGAATGGGCCCGCCATTAGTTAGTGTGAGACGCGAGTGGAAAAGGCACCTCTAGAATAGAAAAAAACATGCCAGATCCCCCAACCTGGGCATCTTCCAGATGTGTGGCTTTCACGTTCCAAACAGATTTTTTTTATGACAATTTCAGAAATTCAAAGATACGTATACTTCTGCAGGGCTCTCCAATTGGGAAAGACTGCAGAAGCCCTGATAAACTGATTGTGGGGCTTTTGGGAGCGTTTTTTGGTGGACATCCGGATTATTTTTCCACCATTGTTTCTTTTCTGTCTCTCTCCATCTGTCTTCTGCCTGCTGCCCCAAGTGTTCAGGTTACTGGTGTGGGAAGTAGGTAAGAGAGAACTGTTGGATGCCAGAACATCGTAAAATCCTCCCTTCTATATTTCAATATCTTCCCATTGTATTCTTGCAATAGGCGGATGCAAGGCGGATGCAATTTTGCTGTATAATAATGCTGCCCCAACATGACTACAGGTGCTTAAAAATCATTGCTATAATAATAAAAAAAGATATTCTTACTATCAACCTCCTTATTTGGTTTAGCAAAAATTTTCCAACCTAAATAATATTTATTTTAAAAAAATCTATTTAAAAGGAATTGATTTAGCTTCAGGGCTAAATCAGCGGCAAAATCAGTGGCAAAAGCAATAAGCAAAATGCAGAATTATTTTATTGGTTTATAATCCAGCTCCTTGGCAAGTGCCACAAAAGAAGCATCGCCTGTTTTTATTTATGAGCCAAGGCTTGCAAAAGTAGGTGCTTTGGAGTCGTTTTTCATAACTGTCAGAAATAAAGGTTTCCTCGTTCAAATATGAAATGGTACACCTAGAGAAGCTCTGATAGTTTCAAAAGGGTCAGCAGCTTTTGGTAAAAAAAAAAAAAAAAGTAGGAACACAAAGCAGAAAGAAAGCACTCTGTGACAGGGATGGCCAAGTTTGTGCTTGTGGAATCTTTACTAGCACCCAATTCTACCACCCATCATCAAATGTAACATAATAGCTTCAATGAGACACTGGGTACCTTCAAGCTGATGCTTAGAAATTTGTGACCTGTATCTAATCCTAGTTTACATAAAAGCTGTTCCTCCTTTATTGTCTTCAGCTATTGGTTTTAAGTAAGAAGCTTTTTTGTTGCTGGTTCTAAAGAGCTAGTAATCTCATTGCACTTATCCAGAGATTTATTTGAATTAGACTTGCCAACAGGACTACAAAGAGACTGATATCTTTAGGGTGACATAAAGGACAAATGAGTACTGAAAATCTCCTTACAATTAAAATGCAAGTCCTTACAATTGGGAATAATTTAATAATTTTTATTAAAAGTTTTAAACCAGAAGATAAAAAGTAATATAAAGAAGATAAAAGCAAAAAAATACAAGAAAAGAAGAAAAGTTGAAGAAAAAGAAGAAAGAAAAACCTATAAAGAAGTGGCTTCTGGAATTTTTTACAGCAGTTATAAATACAAATATATTTTGATCTTTCTCTAAAGTTACATCGTATTGCTCTTCTTTTTATAATCTACCCATTCTAATAATCAAACCCATAAATCAAAAGTTCATTTTTTTTCATTTTTATGCAAAGGTTCCATAAGAGGCTGAAATGGGTGTTTTAAAATGTTTATTGTGCTGATGTGTTTTGTGAGTTGCTTTGCATTGCAACTCACATTAATGTCCTGTTTGAATTTCAGCGGCCTTGGGGATGGGATTATTCTGGATCTTCCAACCTTAAGGAACTGAAACTCCTGTTGGAAGAAACTATCATGATCCGTCGCCTGAAATCTGATGTGCTTTCTCAGCTTCCTGCAAAGCAACGCAAAATGGTAGTGGTAACTCCTGAAGGCATTAATACAAGAACCAAGGCTGAGTTGGCAGCGGCTGCAAAGGAAATGGCAAAGATTTTTAAAAGTGTACGTTGAATAGATTGGTCTAGAATATGGCTGTATTTAATTAGAATGCTAAAATAACAGTTTGAAAGTGCAAAACATGGTTTGTTTGTCTTCTAAATGAATTTCTGCTTGCTAACTATAATTGTAATTTATTTTTCAAATTCTAGAATCTAGAATTCTAGAACGTCACATCTCAGAATGGTATTAACCCATGAAGAAAGGACATATCCAATGAATTTCTAAAGCTGAGCGCTTTAAAACCAAAAAAATCCACTCTGTGCTTTCTCTGTAGTATGTTTGAAAGCTCAAACCATAGTATTGATTCATAACGAAGGTTAGCATAAAGTAGGGTTTGGCACGACATGCTTGTGTTTGTATGACTCTATACAGGTGAGAGGTGGTTCTGTTTGAATAGGCTTGTTATGAGGCAAGATCACCGACTATGCAGATCTTAATGAAGGTTTCCCCATTTGGCAGATTGGAGAGGAAACAGAGTCACTTTGGTTAAGTGCTGCCATTGTTTCAGAGGCAGCTACAAGAAGATAAAGTTCATGGGTGGAAAATCTTAAGTCAGGCCCATTTCACATGTTATGCATTGAATATATCTTTAAATGGATCTACCGGTAGGTCAAAAGCACCCGGGTAGGGAGGATGGCACCTAAGAAACTTAAATAATGAAATGTTGCAAGTCTCCATGTTCTTGGTCACCACTACTTTAGAATAAAAGAAAATGAGTTTCATAAATAGTCAAAGAAGAATTTCTTTTCCTATTAGAGTTATTTAATGTTCCTAGGACTTCTTTGGTGCTTTAATCAAAACCTTATGATTTCTAAAATGTTTTGAGTTGCAAAACTGATAAATAATACATAGATGATGTGAAATCCACTGATATTCATTTTGTTGAAACTATGATAAATTATAGAACTGTGGCTGTAGAAATATGCTACATGATAAATTTGTTTCAAATAATGTATACATTTTGATACATTATACATGTATCATTATCCATGGGAAATATACTTTATATATATTATTATATATATAAGTTATATGTTAGCCATGAGTTAGATATTAGCCATAGGGAAAAAAGGAAGTTACTAAGGGACTTCCAAACAGATTGCTGTTTCACATTATGGTAGCTCCCCATTCGTAGTGACTAAGAAATTAGTCACCCAGAGTCTCTTCAATAGTGAGATGGGCAGCATATAAATTCAACAAATAAATAAATTGGTGCCAAGCATTTTCAGAATTTCACAGTTGTCAAATTTAGCAAGTACTGCTAGTTTGGGGGCGAGGAATTTGGGTTTATAAATTTCTGACAATTCTGCCTTTTGCTCTTGGTTTAATGAGACTAGTTTTTAGCACCATTCTTAATCCTAATTCATCTACAAGTAAAAAAGCAAAAGCGGGATAGGCTGGGGTAGTAATTAATTAATTTGCAATTCAGAGGTTCTAGGATTTAAACAAAAGGTACTTCAAAAAAGTTGTGAATCTTTCTTACCCTTTGAGTTTGCAGGTATCACCAATGAGTTTTTCAAATAACTTTTTCAGAAGCAAGAACAGAAGGACGCACTCATTATCTTCTACAACAAGACTGCAGAAGCCAAAATTCACTGTATCCTGTAAGTTGCTTTTTTGGCTTGTAATGCAGCAAATTACTAGATCAATCCTGGCTATAATGGAAAGATGCAAGATAATGCAAGATAAGCTTGATTTGCTGGGATCCTAGAGAAATGTCTGTGTTAAAAGACTTAAAAATTATAATGGAAATGTCTGTACTGAGACAGTCTGATGAATTTTATTAGAGTTGTGCTCAGTGATACAAACACCAATTGTTCCCATTATTTTTACTTAACATTTATTAATCATTTTGATTAGGCAAATTTTTATGTGGAGATTGCTAACAGTAAGATGAACTACCAATCAACTAAAGTAACTGTTTCCTTACCTTAGAAGTGCTCTGCCTTTCTTTGCTTAGCTTATGGCTAATAGACTTTGAATTCTCCAGGCTGTGAATTTGGGAAATGGCATAAGAAGAGATGTTAGGTGTTATAGGAATCTTTGTAGAAGTCACAATAGAGTAAGATGCGAGCCTGGGACTCAGCAGCATCCAGACCTCTCTTTGTGAAGGAATTTTTCTGTATGTACCCTCAAGAACTGCTAACAGTAAGATGTCAAACTGTGTTGCCTTAAATGTCTTGTGGTATTTGTGAAAGGCGAATTCCTCAAGGTATCCTAAAAAACAGATCTGATTTTCCTGTGTATTCTTTATAGAAATGTGACTAAGTTTCATGTGAAATCCAAAAGCCTTTGCTTAAATTTTGCCATGGCCTGCTCATGACATCAATCATATCCACAATATTGTTGTTGCTTCAATGTTTTGGAAGATTGATAGCTATTGGCTAGAGTTAGCTATTGACCAAGCCTTTGGAGACAACACTTAGCTTTAACTATACTCTCAGTATGACTTTATTCAACATTACCTTTGTGTTGATTGAAGGCAAATAATAGATTTTTAGCTAGTACTTTTGATTTTGTGGTGCCAAAAGCTCTGGTCTAAATTATCTTGTTTCCACGAATCTCAAGTGCATGCAAAAACAATAATATTTATGTTTATTGAGCTTTCTCTCTAATTGCAGAGAATATATCCTAGATTTATTGGAAAGTGGAAGACAGAAATTTCTGGTATTTGCTCATCACAAACTAATTTTGGATGCAATCAGTGAGGAACTGGAAAAAAAGGTACAGTTGATGCTACATAACTCCATAGTCAGGTCATGACTTGAAGGTGGATATCCCTGATTCTAGTTCAATTCTTTAGTTAATCATTGTTTTTCCTGAGACCTGAAAAGGATTTCTTCCTACTTTACCCTGACAACAAACCTATGAGGCAGGCTGTAATTGAATATAAGGAAAACAGAGGATCCTATACTAAAGCACCCCTGGTGAGCTCTCCTTTGCTGGATATTTTCAAGTAAAGGCTGGCTAGACATTTGCCAGGAATGTTTTAATTTGGATTCCTGCACTAAGCAGGAGGTTGGACTCACTAGTCTAAATAATCTACTTTACACAAGTATTCTTCACATTTTAATTCTGCTGATGTAACTGAGTCCGATAGTTTGTAGTTATTTTGATTGCTAGGTGATATAATGACTGAAAATGAGCATATATAGATTTTGCCTAATATTTGACTATGGGACCACCTAGAAGCTCTCCTTCCTTGAGTCTAAACAATTTGGGACCAAATGGAATTTACAAGTGTAGCAATGTGACTTGTAATCTCTTGGTTCTAAAAAGCTCAACTTGGCATAGTGAGAGCAAATCTTTCCATTTTCGGACAGGAACTAAGAAAGAAGCAAACCCTGATGATAAGTTAGTCTTTGTTTCTTCACCTTCTCTTTCAGAATGTAGGCTTCATTCGTATTGATGGTTCCACTCCCTCAGCTGAACGTCAGTCCCTCAGTCAAGAATTCCAGTTCTCTGAGAAGCTGTCTGTGGCTGTCCTCTCCTTGACTGCAGCTAATATGGGGCTTACCCTCTCCTCTGCTGACTTAGTTGTATTTACTGAATTGTTCTGGAACCCTGGGGTAAGAAGACTTTGCCCAATACTGCCTCTGCTAAAATAAGTTATCCATCCATCCAATAAATTTACATTGTCCCCCAACTCGTATACATGACCGTGTGCAGCTAACAGTTTAAAAAAACAAGGTAGAACAGCCCAAAATTAAAACAATATCATCATTCTGTTTAAAGTAGAAAATATAGGAGAATTGAATTTCACCCAGAGAAGGAAAAATTTGCACAGAAGAAGTAAGTTCACTTCACATAATTTTCTACATAAACTAGTAGCTCTAATTCTTTAATGCTGACCTTAGCTTTCTAGCAGAATTGCTTTGTAGCTACGGTCATTGATGAAAGTTAGGGGGGAAAGCATTGTCTGCAGGTAAGTATTGTTTGTAGGATTCTTTCGTCCCACTCTCTTTCATTGATTTTATGTTAGTGTTCTTTTGTCAAAGTTAAAAAGTTAAAACCAGTTTGCTTTATAAGCTTTCCTACTATTAAAAAAAATCCACTGGAAATAGTGGCAAGCATGCTAAGTCTGCTTCCCTTAGCATAGAGAAGACCAAAAAGCTTTCTTGGAATCTCTTCACGTGACTTAAATGATGAAAAATGTGCTGGAAATTAACTTGTTAGTCTTCACTGATAGAAGTTCTTTGCATATGGAAGAAAGAGGGAAGGGATAGGATTAATATGTTTCTTTCTTTCTTTCTTGCATGCAAAACATCGATTTTCTAAAGTCTGAAGAAGGTTAATGAATCATTCTTTTAATGTAAATGGATGCAAACCAATAATCAACTAATCTGTATAAGCATTATTGTAAGAACAGCCACATACTCTCTGAATCTTGTTCCCTAAAATGGAAACATTAGGAATTTCAGCCAGCAGTTCTCTTATTTTTCAATACATTTTTGTCACCCACTTGGAATGGAAGTATTATATTAAATCAGTAATACCTTGTATCACTGGTTTATTGTTTATTGGAGTATTGTTGATTGGTTTATTGGTTCATTGATCACAGCAGTTCCCTTTGTTTTCTCTAATTTATATATTCTACTTTTAAATATTAGGTTTTGATGCAAGCAGAAGATCGGGCACATCGAATTGGACAGACTAATTCTGTGGATATCCATTATTTGGTAGCAAAGGGCACAGCAGATGATTACTTATGGTAGGGAAAAGAAAGTGTTTTTATGACTTATAATCCTGAGAAAATAAAGGGTACTTCATTAGGAGTCTTGAGTTCATTTGCACTTCTATCATAATAAGATGGCACATCAGCACTGTTTGGTGATCCTCCTCTTGCTGTCTCTTTTTTCTAAATATTCTGACCTCATCAGTATGATAGATAATGATAAAGTACTTGGATTCTAGAAACATGCAATTGCAGGATTTTGCTGCAGAAATTGAAATTGCTTTGATGTTCCTAGGTTACCCCTAGGAACCAGGTGATCTAGTGGTTAAAGCTCCAGGCTAGAAACTGGATGAACCATGAGTTCTAGTCCCACCTTAGGCATGAAAGCCAGCTGGGTGACTTTGGACCAATCACTCTTTCTCAGCTCAACCCACCTCACAGGGTTGTTGTGGGCAAAATAGGAGGAAGGAGTATTAGGTATGTTCACCACCTTGAGTTATTGATAGATAATAATGAAGGTGAGTTATAAATAAATACAAAATACTTGTACTCTAATTCTTTGAAAAGAGAATTGAAAACTTGAGTCTTGAGCTGGGATGGACTTATTCTTGGCCAAAAATGCTTTGTAACTTTTATTTATTTACTTAAAAGATTTATATGGCTGTCCATCTTAAGCAACTCTGGGCAGTTCACAACAACTATCTTATACCTCTTCAGCAGTTTATATAAATGTCAGAATTGTGTGCTGCATTTATGTGCTACTTTTACTTCAAGAACCTAAGGGACGTAGATGGAATCCCCATCCAATGTTAACTTCACTGTGAGAGATAGTATAGGTTGAAATTTAGTGATTGCCAATAGGTTTAATGGCTGATTAGGATACTCCTAGTCCTAATCCAGTACTAATGGTTCTATTACATAATCCTCTACAAGAAAGGATGGACACAGTGAGGAAATACATATAGGTTTTAGGACGTGGTTCACCAAATACTTTTCCATCAGAAATGGAAGTTAAATTGTTTAAGAGTTTTCTTAGTGCTTCCTGAAGTTCTGAGTGGTCCAAAAGTGCCATACATGGAAAGAAGTGAGAAACAATCACGGTCTATTTTTCTCATAAACATCTTTCCATGAAATTGTTACCAGAAGAAGAGAAGATAAAATTGCTGCACTGGAAGTAGTGCTGTTGTTCACTCTTTTTCCTGATGGTCATAATAGTAATTGTGAAGCTTGGCTAGAAGACGTATTTATTTAATGCCTGACATCTATTGTTTTATTACAGACAAATTAAATGGTTTTCATAGTTTTCATGGCGTGCATGATTATAATAGCAATTAAATGTTTTAGCTTAATTATAACAGCCGTTTTTAGTATGCAAACAGTACTGAAAGACTATTCCATAGTATGTGTTGATAACTGAAGTTACTTTTTTTCCTATAGGCCACTGATTGAAAAGAAGATCAGGGTGTTAGGTGAAGCTGGTTTATCAGAAGCCAAGTTCTCTGAGGCAGCAGAAACCACAGATTATTATACCTGCAAGGTAAACTACTGTATGGCAAACAGTGTTTTATAATTTAATGTAAAGTAATTTCTTAAAATACATAATACTTTGAGCATTAAAAGAGGAAGAAAATGGGGATTATAATACATACCAAATGTATTTATGACATTTAGACACAAATGTAACATTTAGACATTTATGACAATCCTTTAGAGCAGGATTGGGGAACCAGAGGCTCTTCCAGAATCTTTCACCCTTGCCTGTGCTGGCTATGACTGATGGATAAATCCAGAAGGCCACAGTTCCCTATTCTTGCTTTAGAGGAGCAAAATTAATCATGGGAGAAAGAGCAGAGACTTGTGGGGGCTGCAATTAAAACAACAGTAAAAATTTCTGATGTGACCAAAATGATGTGAAACAATTTTGAAGTAAAGCCAGCTGCAGACACTAACCATTTACTGAGCCTAAAATTGGTGGCTTGCAGATCTGTGGGCACCAGTGCACTTCAGCCTAATTTCAGAAGACTTCCACAGGCAATAAATTCAAAGCTCTATTAAGCATTATCTCTCTCTTTCCCATAGCCTGATGCTTGAGAAGGAGAGAAGAGAAAGGCCAGAAAAGAAAGTGTGCTCCAGAGAAAGAAGGAACGCACTCATCCACTTTTGCTTATAGCCACACCCACTCATCTCCTGTCTAGGGCAGCTATGTAAAGTTTATGGATTTATTCAAATAAAACTTGTCAGCTTGTATGTGCAATGCCAGTGAATTGATCTTTCCCTAGGAATACACTGCAGTTAGAAAGGTAATTACAGTAGAGCTTGACATATGATGTAATGGAGCCTGCCCATTATGTTCATATGTCATAAGGCAAAGATTTTACAACTTTATTAAGTGGCTGCAGCAGTCATAAAGTGACAGCGGTGATAGTTAAGCGAATGCTGCAATCGTTAATCAAACCAATGTTTTGCTATCGGTGCAGTTTTGCTGAAAAAAATGAATTAAATGCCAATTTTTGGCAAAACCATTATAAAATGAGGTTCACATGACCACAAGATGCTGCAAGCTGCCATAAATGTGGCCATGCTGTTGACGCCTAAAGTTCGATCACATGACTGCGGAGCAGGCCTGACCATCAGAACTTCGAATCCGGCCGTAAGTCCACTTTTTGGGGTCAGTCATAACTTTAAACGATCACCAAGCAACCAGTCTTCAGTTGAGGATTACGTGTACCTGCAAGATTACTTATTTTGGCTTATTTTGGGGACGTTAGTGCCCATATTTAACAGAATAACAGAGTTGGAAGGGACCTTGTAGGTCATCTAGTCCAACCCCCTGCAGGAGACCTTATAGCATTTCTATCGTGACTGTTCAGTCTCTTCTTGAAAGCCTCTGGTGATGAAGCACCCACAACTTCTGAAGACAAGTTGTTCCATTGGTTGATTGTTCTGAGAGTTCTCCTTATTTGTAGGTTGAATCTCTCCTTGATCAGTTTCCATCCATTGTTCCTTGTCTAGCCTTCGGGCGCTTTGGAAAATAGGTTGTCCCCCTTATCTCTATGACAACTCCTCAAATATTGAAACACTGCTATCATGTCACCCCCGGTCCTTCTCTTCACTAGACTAGCCATGCCCGGTTCTTGTAACCATTCTTCATATGCAGTGCTTTTTGACAAACTTGTTCCTTTGCTATGGAGAATTTGACCACTAGTTTCCTGTGCCTCTCTTACTTTGTTTCAGATGGCAGAGAGAAATGAACAAATATATGGTTCACTTCTCTTTTTAATATCTGAAGGCTTTTTGCATCGCTTTGCATTTCCTGTGTTAATTTTCTGAACTTATGTCTTAACTGATGAACGGAGCTATTTTGTTATAAAGAAACAAGTTAACAAGAATTTGACAAAGGCTTTCTCTTTAATTCCACAGGTGGACCCCAAACAGCAGACCATGTTGGAACTTTTCCAGAGGACTTTCTCAGAGGATATAGAGGACATGGATGAAGCCTTCCTTGGGGACGTAGTGGAGACATGTGAAGATTCTGGGCAGGAAGACCCATTGAACAATAGAGCAGGACATTTTTTCTCAGCAAGCCCGTGCAAAAAAAAGCGTACTCAATAATTTCCATGGAGGTATGAATATTATAGAATTATGGCTGTTTTTATTAGTTAAAAAGTGTTATTTAAAGAGAAAAAAAATCAGTGCCATCAGTGAATTATTTGGTTGTTCAAATAAACTATATTTAAATATGTTCTTGAATTTTGTATTAAGGATAATGATATATTCTTATTTTTATATAATAAAACAAATCTCTATTTTACTCAAGTCACTTATAGTTCAAAGCTCTGCATGCTGGAACATAATGGGACGCGAGTCTCAGGTAACTCTGTTTTCAGATTGAAATTCTAATCCTATCAACTATTGAAAGACAAAGCTCTAATCATAAGAATTCCAAAAGTTCCTGAGTCATCTATCCAAATAATTACTTTGAAGCAATATTTTTTTCTCAGGATATGCCAGAGGCTCAACCGGAATACTGTAAAATCTTTTGCCAGTGGAAATTGGAATTTGGCCAAAATTTGAATACTACGATTTTTGTTCAAATTTTAAATGTTGGTATTCTTCCAGTAAAGTAACCAATACATGAATGTTTGTTTAGGTGTTTTCAGAACAATTAGTGGATCCATAAAATGTTTTGAAGGAATATTCAGTGGGAGGAAAAGTTAATATTAAGGATTATAAATACCAAGCAAATAAATACATATATAAGAAAAAGAATAAAAGGGTATTCCTTTTATTCATATTAAGTTGAATAGAAGAGCCAGTTTGTAGTAGTAGTTAAGGCTAGAAATCAGGAGGCTGGAAGTTCTAGTCCTGACTTGGGCTCAAAGATAAGCTTGGGTCAGTCACTTTCTTTCACCCCTAGGAGGGCAAAGGCAATGGCAAACTATTTCTGAAAAATCTTGCCAAGAAAACTACAGGGACTTGTGCAAGCAAAGTCCAAGAAGAATCAGACATGAGTGAATGGAAGGGGAAACATGTTTTAATAGGCTTCTTGGAAAATGGAGCACAAGATTGCAGTTAAAGCCTTAATTAAAACTTTACTTAAAAAGGTATAATTTTTGAGTTTAACTGAACAAATATTAGCCAAAACCAAAACTAATTTACAGCTGATAGTTTAGGTCCTTTTTCTATATATAATAAAACATCTGGCACAGTCAATTGCTGTGATTCTATGATGTTGCCTTCATCTTGGTCTCAGCTTGTGAGTGACAGGCTTAAATCATTCTGAGCTGTACCAGCATTGAAATAACACTTTCCCTTTTATTCAAATATAGCCCAAGGCCAGCCTCAAGGTATAGACAGTAAAATCTATTAGGCTTTGTCATCTACTAGCTTCAATGGAAGTCAGATGATCCCAATGAGTTGAAACGAGTCTGTTTATTGGTCATGTGTACGTACTACATATTTTTTTCTTTTTGGGACAGAGCATGTTTGCAATTTCAACTTTACAGCTTTCATCATTCTCCTGCCCCAACACCAAGATATTCTGTGCTTGCTGTTTGTTGAGGACATATGCCCCATCCTGAGCCTACATCCTGGTGAAGCAGGTCAAGGTGATCCAGCAGAAAATTAGCGTCATGCATTTGGAAACTACAACAGCTTTTTCAATATATAAATTAGTGTATCTATTCCATGTGGAGGAAGAATGCAGGGAGGCTGGTGATATCTGAGGCTCCAATTGTCTGTTGCAGAAAGGCCCCCTTCCATCTGGCATTGGGCTCTTTGTGATCATGTCTCCTTTAGCTGCTGGAGGCTGCAGAGGCATTCTGATAACCAATTTTTTTTTTTATTTTTTTTTTAGAATTGGGATCACTGAGCTTGTAGAATACCTTCTACCAGAATGTTATTCTCAGTGATAATATCTGCACATCACATCACTGCTTCCTAGGAATCCCCACTCATTTCAGTGTTTACCTTTAACAGCCCCAAAACTAGCACAATGTCTTCACCTCCCTGCTCCACTGTGGTGTACAACGGATGACTCCACATATCAGACTGAGGCAAAAGCTTATTATCTTGAAAATATCCTTTATGGGGCTAATTATAGCAATCCACTCATGCTGTAAAACAGTTATTTCTTAAAGTGTGGTCTGAGGACCTCAAGGGGTCCCTCGAGACTATCTCAGGAATTTGTGGAATCAAAATTATTTGCCAGATATTGGATACTTGTAAAAATTTTTTTAAAATATCAGTCTTCTCATTCTTTTTTATTAAAATATACAGGGTTTTTTCATGAAAAATATGTTAATATCTATGGGATTCATGGTTATTTTTACATGATACAATAAATATTATAAGTGTGTCCATTTTTAATATGGTGAGCATTGATAAATATAACTTATACAAGCTCTCTTGGGAGCTCGCTGTAATTTCTAAAAGTGGGAAAGGGTTCCAAGAGCAAAAAGTTTAAGAAACAAGGCTGTAAAGAAATGCATCGACATCCATCTTTTCCAGAAAGGAGTGTTATGAACAATCCTAGCTATTTTTCTATAGTACAAATATTGTTTATAAATAAATACGGTGTGTTCTATCGTTTATTTTTTTTTTAAAAAAAAATCCCATTTCACCCGTCGAACAATACTTTTTAATTACGCTTGCATGAACAGCAAAAGGGGACATTACGGAGTGAAAAAAAATGGAAAACACGGGATGCTTATTTTCGCAAGTATTGAAAAAAAAAAAAAAAAAAGTTGGTCCACCGAGGTAGTCCGCCCAAAGGATAAATGGAGCGTAAAGGAAAGGCCAGACTCTATCATTGGTCACGTGTGTGCACTTTTTCTTCCGGTCTCTTCTGGCGACGGTACCGACAGTGCGCATGCGCAGAGGGTATTTCCTTCTTTCTCTCCGCGGCCTGTTGGAGGAGCAAGATGGTGAGTGGAGTTGCAGGTTTTATTTATATACGTTTTCATCTGCTGCCATCTTTCCTCTTACTCGCATTTGCGGGACCGGCATCTGGAAATATGTGGGATGAAATATCTGGGGAAACAATATCTGGGGATATTGGGAGTATTTGGGGATGATCCTGGGGCGGACTCGCCAGAGTCTCCCGGGTAGAGCCGGCTTCGGTAAGAATTGCGTTGTGTGTTCTCAACCTTGACCATTTTAAGGCATGTGGACTTCAACTCCCAGAATTCCACAGCCAGCATTGCTGGCTGTGGAATTCTGGGAGTTGAAGTCCACAAGCCTTAAAAGTTGTCAAGGTTGAGAAACACTGGCGTAAAGTCTGTGTTAGGGGGACTGTAGATGCTAAGACATCAAGCTTTCCCCATTGCTTCTTTCTGAAAAACGGCGCTTGAATGGAAAGCGCCTACTTGGGGGGGGGAGTGTATTGTTTTCTTCGCATGGAATTAAACATTACAAGTCTTGTTGATTGAGTTGAGGTCTGTCTTTTGTACGAGGGTGATCTTGTTGGAGAAGGTAGCCGATACTTGGGTTTCAGCCACTTAACACTTTTTTTTAAGTTTGTAATACTCGGGGCGCCTGTACGTGATACTATCAGCTTTATAACACTGACAGATCACTCATTATCCAAAGGCATTTGTATTGGGGTCTGGAGTTAGGGATAAAAGTTGAACTGACATATAACATTCAGTACATTTTGGATTACAAGGTGGCTAGTGTAAATATGACAGCTAGAACAATTAACAGAACAATTAACCAGTGGAACAACCTGCCTCCAGAAGTGGTGAATGCTCCAACACTGGAAGATTTTAAGAAGAGACTGGACAGCCATTTGTCTGAAATGGTGTAGGGTTCCTGCCTGGGCAGGGGGTTGGACTCGATGACCTCCAAGGTCCCTTCCAACTTTTTTTTATTATTATTATTATTATTATTATTATTATTATTATTATTATTATTATTATTATTATTATTATTATTATTATTATTATTATTTATTATTATTATTATTATTAAATATGTTAATTATATAATTGATATGCAGTTAATAATTATGTAGTAATTAATATGTTAATACTGTTAGGGACTTGTCGCCTTTAGTCAACAAAAATTATCCTGTTAGTTGTGCCACTTGGTTGCTTGGGTGAAGTACTGTGATTAGAATCTCATATTGATTTGAATGAAACTTATATTAAGCTCACTGAGACCGAAGTAAGCAAATTGGGAGTTAGGCTGGTAAGGCATATTATCTTCCCCAATATTGAAATGTGCTTAAGCTTGGCAATTGTTTGCTTCTTTAAAATACATTTCATTTGTATTCCATTTATTCTTGAGACTTAAAATTGCATTCCTTGGGTTCTTGCCTCATTTTTCCCCTCAACTCTGAAGTGGATTAAGTTGAGAATATTGGTTTGTAAGAGACTTACACATAAGTGAATTATGCTTTGAATAATTAAAACGGACTAGACAAAAATATACCTGCATAATTTGTAATCCAATGTGGCATGCAAATGCATCCAATGGAGAACCCAAAGTCATATTGTGAAATCAATAATCAAGTGAAAACTTGACCTTAGATCTCCCTAGAGATCATCTCTTGCTCTATGTACTTATCTTGATGAGAACAGATAATTGTAAAAAAAATGAAATGTGACACTTTTGTTGCTCTGCTGCAACAGGCCAAGCGTACTAAGAAGGTTGGGATTGTAGGTAAATACGGTACAAGATATGGAGCTTCCCTCAGGAAGATGGTGAAGAAGATTGAAATTAGCCAACACGCTAAGTATACATGCTCCTTCTGTGGAAAGGTAAGACTCTACCTTATAGCAACAAATGTATGAAAATATTTTTAATTAAAGGCTGTCCATGTCTTTTCAGTTTTAAGGGATCAGTTATTCCTGAGAGACTTTAGATATACATTTATAAAACTTAGGGGCTGATTTTTTTTTAATTTAAAAAAATATGTCTATGCTAATGTGCCACAGTTTTGGAAATTCTTTTCTTTTATGAGATTTGAAGATGCTCTGAAACCTCCAGAATGAAATAAGACCATTTCTGTATGAAACCTTGAGAATGTATGAATAGTTACTTTGTGTTTTATATGGGGATTTCAATTACAAGGAAGAACTTTGAATTGGACTTTCAGCCTAATCTGTTCTTTTCTATTTGGTTCTTCCCATATGTATTGGGACTGAGGTTTATAAGACCTGTCTTGGTAATTTAGGAACTAAAATTCCTATGGAAAAGAAAGGATCTGGAAAAATGCTTTGCTTCAGTCTTCTACTCAGCGTACAGACTACTTCTATAAAATCCTAGTA